TTTTAAATTATGCGAATTAAATCAGCAGTTTTGATATCAAGTCTATACCGGAGCGTAGAGGGTTTAATTTGAAAAGTGTCTAGGCCTACCTGTTGTTAGCATAGCTTAGGCCTACCTGACTACAGCTGTGGTAGGCACCAGGTTAGGCCTATTATTCAGTGCTGTTTATACTGGCGAATCCGGAATGCACTCGGGTTGTCCAAAGCCGAGTTTTGCATGTAGCGTAAAAGGGGTAAAATTTACTTGAAATTTGAACAAGAAAAAAAAAAAACCTTTATTTAAAAGAGGAGAATGATGTCAGTCTCTATTTTTTCTAGCTATTACCAAGTCTCCTCTCTCGGTTGCTAACAATGACCAATTACTTTAAATCATATTTTTAATGGTTTTATATAATGTTTACTATGTCTCTTTTATTGTATTTTTAGAATTAACTGCTTTAATGATTTTTTGTCATATTTTAGTGTATTTGTTTTTTTTAATGTAATCTCTGTATTTAACTCTGTTTTAATATATACATTCATATAGTAACTTCTCTTTTGAATGCACCACAATAACTACAGGTGTCACTGACACAAAGATTAATATCATTATTATTTTTATTGATCACTATAATCTTTTTTTTTTTTCCAGAATGTGCCTTTTTATTTTCCAACCAATCACATTGAGTTTCTAAACGGCACAATACTACCTTCAAACACATCTAAATTTGATCGCAACATGTTTATTGCTATATCAGGGGTAATAGGTGAAGAGGAATATGAAGATCTTCTTAAGATAACTCATTTTGGCAAGATGACCCCAACAAACTTCACAGGATACAATGACCCAAATGCTGTGTTTCCCTTTTGGACATCTGATGCATATACATATGCAAATACGCTATTAGCCCTTGCACAATTCCAGAATTTAAATAGTTGATATTTCCTATACATGGAAGCATTGCATGTCAGGGGTCCAGGTTGGTTTTAGTCATGGGGGTGGGGGTGTGAAATGGTGGAGTGGGGGTTGGTGGTTGTGCAAATTTATAATGGATTGCTAAATCCATATTTCAATAAAAACTTAATGGTCATCTTTGGCATTTAAATCAATTTAGTGGAACTAATTTGCTGCCATTAGGTGGTAACACGTTATATTTTCATTGCGGATTTTTTGGGCTCAGTACGGACTCCAAAAGTATGCATTTTCTTTTAGTTTTATAGCGTATGCGGATTTTATAAGTCCGCAATGATGATATAACATGTTTGATGTGTCTGTACCCCTTCCCCCAATCCCTATGCTCATGCTTGTTAATTGTTACTCTACTTGGTTCTTCTATAGTGCTTTACAATGGGATTACAAAGCACTACAAGATGCATTATCTAGTGTCCGCATGACAAATTTTTAATTAAAACTAGTCTATGCAATCACAGGTGTAAGGAATTTATTCAAATTATTCAAAAATGTGGGCAATGGAATCTATTACTGCATAGGTCTAATGAATTCAATAAACTTAAACATAAACAATGCATCTGTAATGCGAGTAATTTTATTTAATGTATAATATTCTAATATAAGTTCAGCAATACATTATTTTACGTAATGAACAAAAGTATGATAATCAATGGGATAATTAGATAATTATGTAATTTTGTCAATTATTATTCCTATTGAATCAAATCACATTCGACTTTTGAATTTTTGTTTACATTTCTCATATGTGGTACCAAAATCAATCCATTGAATAAAAGACAAAAAAAAAACACAATGGGTTTGAGTATTTAATACTTTCTTTTGTTAAACTATATATAAAAACTTTTTCTAATGTCATTCCTTTTATGTCGACAGTTGTTTATTCTTTTAAACTTTGCTTACATTATAAATGTCAAAAGTAAATATTATCAAATAAATAATTAAATAAAATATAATAAAAATACCACAGCTTTTTAAACTTACATTGTATACCTCAGCTGAAGAAATAGTAGTCTTTCCCTTCCACCAGATTCAAAGATGCTATGTTGCATTCTAAGCCACCTTTAGTTAAATCCTAAAATATGCATAAGAAATGATAATGATATATCAAAGCATTTATTGAAGGTTTCCATGGTGAGTATTAATAAAAAAAAATAAGTAAACTTTCAGTTCACCATGTGTAAAAATATGAGGTAAGCTAACTGGTTGGTTATCTCTTGCATTCTTGGGTGGTAGGTGTCTTGCTCAACAACACAAACAAGTGGCTAGCCTCAGATATACCATGGACCTATTAATAAGTCCATGGATATACTAAATATGTATGTCCATGGATATACTAAATATTTAAATTGGTTCCACACACTTCTTTCCCAGCACTTTGATTAGCTAAATCTTTGTGCACACTATAACAA